AAAAAAAAAAAAAAAAAAAAATCATAGGCATTTATTTGTTTTGTCGTTTTGTTTGGTATTGGGGATTGACCCAAGGGCCTTCTCATTGAGGTACATCCCAAATTACTTAAAAATTTTTTTTTTCACTTTGAGACAAGATTACACTAAGTAATCCAAGCTGGGCTTAAAATTATGCTCTTCCTGCCTCAGCCTTCCAGAGTGCTGGGATTACAGGTGTATGCCATGAAGTCTGGCTTAATTATTAGTCTTTAGCACTTAACTGCATGATCAATCCTTGTTACTTTATTCTTTGCAATAGTTTGCTTTTTGGGGGGGGTATGGGGATTGAACTCAGGCCCTCGCACTTGTGAGGCAGGCGAATAAAATTATATTTTAAAAAGCCAAAACCTGGCATCGGACAATTAATAAGGAATATGATGAAGGGGGCACATCTGGAGTAACTGAGCTCTAAAATCTTTTAAGTAGTATAAACCTATTTTGGTTAATCTTTTAAAAAGTTGCAAGGAAACTAATTTTATCTATGTGTAAATGCATACTAAGAACCAACACTGGAAATACTTTATTAAGCTTTAGATAATTATTTACCAATCCTAAATATTGAAAAAGAAGTTTATAACAATGTATAGATATTACAGGTGAACCCAGGCCAGCGTTGACAACACCATTTAAAAGAACATTTGTCACATGCTACATTGTGCTACTCTGGGAGGCTGACGCAGGAAGTTTAACATGTAAAAATGATTATTTACTTCTGAATACTGATGGATGGATCACAATTCATTTTAATAGTTACCTGTATGACTACTAATATGATTGAAAATATTAATAACTATAGAGCCTGAGTTCCCCCAGTGGATTTTTTTTTAAAAAGTCACAATATTTATAAGCTGGGCGTGGTGGTGCACGCCTGTAATCCCAGCACTCGGGAGGCTGAGGCAGGAGGACTGCTGAGTTTGAGACCAGCCTGGGCTATATAGTGAGTTCCAGGTCTCAACTACATAGTGAGACCCTGTCTCAAAAAACAAAAACAAAATAAATAAATAAAAAAGTCACAATCTTTACTCCTTTTCTGAAAACAAGTCTGCTCTCTCACTTTGGAGATCTAAACATTTAGGCACTGTGACTGAATTCCGGTAGAGAGGCGAAGTTGCAAAGTCTAGTGACCTCCTAACACCAGGTATCAGTCACACTGCTGGCATATTTGTGTCCATTTCTTGATTGTCAGCAGTGCTAACACTAGGCTCTGAAAATGGCAATGAATTAGCATCCAAGGAAAGAAGAAACATTCACTGTGTCCAAGACCGACTGCATTTATAACAGATGTAGACAGTATCTGATTATACTGGTGACCCAAAAAACATAAAGCATATCTACACAGGTGTATAACAGACACATGAGTAACAAAAACTTGAGACCAAATTCTAAATACTAGGGGGGCAAATTTACCAAACTCCACTTTTATGAAATTCACATATGTACAGTATTGAATTTGCAATTCATATACCTGTTTAAGGATTCCACAAACTAAAGTTAACTTCAGTAAACTAAAGATTTATAACATTATGACAGTGTGCAAGGGATTTGGCTCACAAGCGCAGGGTCCTGAGTTCAATCCCTGGTACTAAAAAAACAAAAACAAACAAACAAAAAAACCCAAAAAATGGCCAGGTGTGGTGGCGCACGCCTGTGATCCCAGCACTTGGGAGGCAGAGGCAGGAGGATCACTGTGAGTTCGAGACCAGCCTGGGCTAAACAGTGAGTTCTAGGTCAGTCTCAACTATATAGTGAGACCCTTTCTCAAAAAAACAAAATAATAATAATAATAATAATAATAATAATAATAATATGCCAGTTATGACAGAATTCAAGCTCCTCTAAACTTGTTTGAATTTTTTAAACGTTTTAAAGTTAAAATTTTAAAATGACATCCAACTGTCTCAGAGGGCATCCATAAGTTTCCAGAGTTAATTTTAGCTAATGCACAAAAATTCCTAGCTCTTCTTGTGAGCTGGTGACTTGGGCAGCATATGAATTGTAATCCTGATGTGACAGATCGGGCTTTCATATTCCTAAGACTTGACTAGGATGGCTGCAAAGACAAAACTCGAGTCAAGACTAAAAACAACTGCGGATACTATTTTTTTTTTTTTTCCTATTCCCCATAAGGCAACAGATAGCAGCTAAGTTCTTAGAGGAGTTAGGATTCCCAGGATTTGGGAAGACTCAATTCAGGAGGTTAACTAGGTGACGGTACTGACAAATTTCCTGCGTGTGACCTTTAGCCTAGATGCTAACTCTGCCAACTGGGGCAACCTCCAGGGGTGGAAGCCAGGTCCAGCAGTGGGCGACAGCACTGACCTTGCTTTAGTTCAGCCTGAGACACGGAGCAGAGGAGAGGCAGCGGGAGGGGAGAGGAGCCCGCAGCCCCCAGGTGTAACCCAGCCTGTCTCGCCCCAACGCCTCCACCTGTCTGCACTTGTCCCCGTCCAGCGTTCCCTCTCACCCGGGCAGGACAGCTTGGCTAGAGGCACCGACATGGTCAAAGTGTCCAGAACTCTCTCAGTCGGACACCGCGGAAGGACGACAGCCTGGGGCTCGCCGGAGCAGCTGGGTCTCTATGCCGCGGGGGCAGCCATCGCGCGTCAGGAAACTCCGACGGCCTCGCCGAAGTTTGCCTCAGTCCAGCTGGCCGCCCTTGCCTCGCAGCGTTCCCGCCTCTCTCCTTCTCTGCGCCGGCGCCCCACATGACGCGAGAGCCAGAGAAGGTTTCCGGGTCAGGCACTAGCCGGGGAGGAAAAAAAAAGAACTCCAAGTCCCAGAGTGACCCGCGGCTTCGGGTTGCAGGTTCAGCCTTCACTTCCGCCTCTTTAGGCCGTGGGAGGGACCCACAAGGCTCTGCGAGCACGCAGGCGCATGCGTACTGATAGCATAGGCGGTGGGACTCGCACACAACCCCGAGAGATGTTGTCGGTCTGTAAATTTACGCAGGCGCAGTGAGCCTCCCAAGGTGCCTTGACTGACGTTTGATGGGCTGTCAATTGAAGTCTTCGCGGTCCCAGGCTGAGACAGACCAGTCGATGGGGCGGGGCTGCCGGAGCTGGGCCAGCGGCTGAGGTCTCTCTCCGCTCCTCTCCGCTCCTCTCCGCTCGGCAGCGGTGCCCGAGTCCTTGTGTAGGGCCTGCGGGCCTACGCGATTCCCCACCGGCCAGGCCCGGACGCCTCCTCAGCGCCTTCCCCAGGCGGCCC